AGGAGAGGGGGAAGAGCTTTGGTCGCGTTCATTATTTAATATTTAGGGGGTGACCACCGCTGGGATGAGGGCGACAGCAAAACTCTTTCTCGGAATTGTGAGAAAAGCTGCAAAAAGGTTGTAAACTGCTTTGCCACTCAATTACATAATTTAACCCATGCATCAGGTCCCGTTTTGTACAGCCGCGCGACTATTATACTTGGCAATAATTCAGGGCCGTAGGCTGAGCAAATTCGTAGGGGGAGGGGACAAAATTTCATGACTCAACTGTGTAATGATGAGGAACGGGCGCAGCTCTTGATCGACGTCCATATAGTGTGGTGGGGGTGGGTCTGAGTCAAGGCTTTCACGGATAAGTGACCAAAAAATCACGTTAGGTTTATTTACGATTAGCTAATCAAGCATATTTTTAAATTTTGCTCCATAATCTAGGTGGGCAGCTGCCCCCTTGCCCCCCCCCCCCCCGATTATTTGGTATATGTGTAAACATATTGTTAGTCAAACATAGGAGGTGGCTAGCCACCCAATCCCCCCCCTTATTATCCGCCACTGTATACAGATGTAGTGAGTACATACTCAAGGGTAGGTATGTTTTACATTTTGATCCCCATGACTGGCTTCAGTAATTATAAAGCGAAAATTATTCGAATCTTCCAAAATGCGACCGAGAGCATTATAGGGGCATACGTGCCTATACGCAGCACCTAATGACATTATGCATATTTTTCGGTGCCGTTAGTCGCCGCTAGTGTCGCGCACGAGAATTAGCGTCGGATAGGGTAAGATTAGAGGCTTATACCGCTTCACACTCTATACGTGGTAGCATAATATTATCATGCTAAATGAAATCGATTTATCTCCAGTCACCGGGGCCGTAGCTAACCCAATTTGCCTGGAGCAACAAAGCTACAGGCGGTTTGCGTTCTGGGCAGTTGGCCGTTGCGGTTGTCATGGCTTGAGAGGAAACTGCACTCTCTGCGCGTACACCCCGTTTAATGGATACGGCTATATAGTGCATTACATAATTTATATTGAGTGCAGCACATGCGTAGTTTATATTTATAATGCACATTATGCCTACATATATATATTTGATCAGATTATATAACATGTTCAAAATGATCTATATAAGTATACTTATATACTTTAGTACAAGCTGACTGTCTATATCTGTCTGTCTGTCCGTCCGATCGTCCGTCCGTCCGTCAGTCAGTCCACCCACCCGTCCATCCATCCAAAACCACTACCATATTACATCAATGGATACGTAGCAATAATTTTCTTATCAAAAATTTGGACGTCGTATATGGATGGACCTTTCATCCTAAAAGGCTAAAACCATCCTGGGCATCCATCTTAAACGATGTTATGGTTGTCGTTGTTGGGAGTGCGTGTACAGTCGCCTCACTAAGAGAACGCCATATGTACGCTGTTATCCAGGCCGCAGGTGTGTGTATTCGCGTGCGTGGGCAGATACTTTCATCCTGCTTTCATGGATACGGATCTTGCCAAGTGCCAACGGTGACGAGTGCCTAATACCACGATGGATGGATTTTCCTCCGAAGCATTAAGGAAATAGTAGTTTTCATCACGAGAGGGCTATTAATGAGCCATCGTAATCATTTTCGTCGCCGTTACCTTCTTATTCTTGCTGCAACATGTTTACGAATGAGTGTTCTGATGAACGAATTGAGATCGAGCCCATTATAGTGCGCTGAATGTAATCAAATGCGCGAACACACGCGCGTGCTGGCTGACTGCTGCCTGGCGTCGAGGCAGCCGTCAGCGGTAGAGCACCATTATCGCTACGTGTCTTCACAATGCTCTAGGGTACGCGGTGTTACAGGCTTCGTGACGGAATATTTTTACGCTTCTAAAAGCTTTATGACACAAGCAAGCGATGCGTTTTACAATTAATTCCAACTAACGACTGCGGCGTCTTTTTAATTATTCAGGCCAGTCGTATTTAACGGCAGCACACGGTGCGATGCCTCCGTGGCTATAGCACACGATAGACGTATGTGCACTGTATCGTGAGTTTGTAAATTCGGCAGTTACCGGGCTATGATGTTAGCCACCTCATGGTACACATTAGAAAATCCTATGTTCCTGGTCATAGGCTCCTGGCCTAAATGCGAACCTTAATGGCCTTTCCTGGCGAAAAGGAATGCTCCTGGGTTATACAGTCTTGGATATCGTATAACACACTATTACTTTTACGATTAATTATTAATAGATCACCATTTATAATACGTATATATAGGCCTAGTAATAATAATGCATAGTGTACTATATATTGCGGCTGGAGAAATCGAAGGCGTTAGTTAATTAATGGTAACTGATCCTAGTTAAGTACATCATGCACTAATGTCTCAGATAAAGATTAGTGATAAATGTTTCGAGGCCAACTCATCTAAGTCTCTGTGATTATATTACACATGCACGCATGCACGCACGTCAGATGTGGCCCCAGGGATTGCCCCGCACATGAGCTAAGATCACAGACGAAGGCGTGGGGACGTTCTCCGGAGGTAGAGGGAGGTTAAACTCAAATAGGGGCCGAAAGATATCTACGAATCTAATCTTGCATTTTTCTTATAGATTTCAAGGTTTAAAATGACAACTTTAGCCGTTCTAACAGGCTATAATTGCTGTATCTATAGCTATCGATACATTGTAATACATGGTATTTGTAAACAGATAAATCAACACTTCATCCTGCTATGCTGATGCCGCGACCAAGGAGCTAGATATAGCCATGGCCGCAGCCACTGTAAGCCATTAGGTACAGATCATAAGTGAGTGAAAAAAAATCGTATAGTTTCGCGATCGAATAGTCCCTTCTGGCGCCACCCTTTGCGTGCGCACATACGCACGCACACACGCACGCTTGCGTGCACACAGGCTTATAAAATATGAATTAATACACTATCTATGTAAGATAAATTATTAAGTCAAAGCAATTCAGAAGGATGCGAATTAAGCAAGATAAGAGAAAGTGGCAATAACGTTAGGATTGCATAAAGGCGACAATTCCTCTTCCCGGTAGACTTGAAAGTGTGCACCTTTTATAATACTACGATCAAGGCTTTTTGTACATTGACAACATCATCCACCACAACCAACCACCACCAGGACCACCACCACCGCTCCCACCGCCACCACCACCACCGCTGCCGCCGCCGCCGCCGCCGCCATCGCCGCCACCGCCACCGCCACCGCCACCGCCACCGCCACCAGCACCGCCACCACCGCTCCCGCCGCCATCACCACCACCACCACCACCACCACCACCACCACCACCACCACCACCACCGCTCCCGCTGTCACCATCACCACCACCACCACCGCTCCCGCCGCCACCACCACCACCACCGCCGCCGCCGTGCACCGTCACCGCCACCAAGTGAAGCAAGTGTAAAAGAATCAATAACGACGACAATAACAACAGCAGCAACAACAACAATAGCAGCAGCAACAACAACAACAATAGCAGCAGCAACAACAACAATAGCAGCAGCAACAACAACAATAGCAGCAGCAGCAACTCAACAAAAACAACAGGCAGCACTTTAATAGTATTTATTTTACAATATTTTTAGATATAACAATCATATACAATGCCCGACCATTTTTCATTTAACCTATAATACAAGATAATCCTTTTACTTGTTCCCCGACGTACCCATGCACCGTATAATTACGCTGCCAGGGTCTATGTCTCCCTGGGTACTGCCGGAACGTACCCTGGGTACGGTCCGGTATACCGGAACGTACCCTGGTACTATCTAATATGCCAGACCGTACCTCGCCTACTCTACTAACGAGTCTAGGGAGTCGCCTACGTCTACTCCCTAACCCTAACCCTAACCCTAACCCTAACCCTAACCCTACCCATATCAGATAGTTAAAAGGGTACATTCCGGTATAC